TTCCCTTAATTTTTCTCAGAAGCCTCTGATGCGGTACTCTGTCAAATGCTTTGCTAAAGTCTAAGTAAATAACATCGCAATTTTCGTCATTATCTATTACCCCGAAGACTTTCCTAAAAAACGTCAGCAAATTTGTTAGACAAGATTTTCCCTTTGCAAACCCATGTTGTGAGTTGTTGATTAATTTGCTTTTCTCTAAATGCGATCGGATGCTATCTGCTATAATTGATTCAAGAAATTTCTCCACTACTGATGTCAAACTAATCGGTCGGTAATTTGACGCTGATGCTCTGTCTCCCATTTTGAATATTGGTTCCACATTTGCCTGCTTCCACAAGTCTGGAACAACTCCCATGTCTAATGATTTTGTAAATAAATTTACGAGGGGTCCGCTAATCTGTTCCCTACACTCTTTCAAGACTCGAGGGAAAATTTCATCCGGCCCTGGGGATTTTGTCTTGTTTAGTTTATTTATCCTCTTAAGCACACCCTCTTTTCTGATAGTGATATTCTTTAATTTCTCTTCTTCCTTTCCCCTAAATATCAGTTTCACCTCTGGAATTTCCTCACGAATTTCTTCTGTGAAAACTGATAAGAAGTAGCTGTTCAATGCTTTGCTTATTTCTTCACTGCTATTTATCACTTCCCCCCTCCCTGACTTTAAAGGCCCAACTTTTTCCTTGACCTTTGTTCTATATACCTGGAAAAATGCCTTGGGATTCGCCTTGGATTCTCTTGCTATTTTGATTTCATAGTCTCTCTTTGCTTTCCTTACATTTTTCTTAACATTCCTAGATAGTTCATTATACCTATTTCTGAGCTGCTCCTCACCTCCCTTTAATTTCTTATAAATTCCTTTCTTTATTCCTATGTCATGTTTAAGTTTTCTGGTCATCCACCTTGGCTCATTCTTATTTGACCTAATTTTTCTGTATGGTATATTTTGTTCCTGTGCTTTATGTAGTATACTAGTGAATATATTATAGTCATGACCAATTGTTGTGTCATCTATGACCTCACCCCTTCCTACTGGGGACTGACGTGACTGTTCCCAGGTGACCTCACCTAGGTACCTTCTTAACCCCTGATAATCCACCAACCGAAAGTTTGGGACTCTGATCATATTGTCATTGTTTTTCGTTTCCCAATTTAGGGTGAACCTGATTTTTCAGTGATCACTGTTACCTAGTTCTTCCCCTACTGTGATATCTCTGATAATATTTTCTGTATTTGTTAATACTAGGTCTAATACATTGTCACCTCTAGTAAGTTCTGTAATTAGTTGTTTTAAAAAATTGTCCTGTACTGCGTCTAGGAAGTCTTCAGATTCATAGTCACTTACAATGCTGTCCCAGTCAATATTTCTGAAGTTGAAATCCCCCATAATGCACAGGTTGTTATATTTTGCTGCCCAACTCATTTCCTTCCATATGGGCTGAGCTGCTTCTTTCCCAAGACTTGGGGGCCTGTAAATCACTCCCATAATTAGGTTTTCTCTTCCTTCCGTGATTTCTACCTGTACAGACTCGGTTCCTATTTCACCCTTTATTGAATTATTAATACAACATTTTAATGTATCCTTGACGAAGAGTGCGACCCCTTCCTACCTTCCCTGTCCTTGTGAAAAAAGTTGTACCCTTCTATGTGGTACTCTGATAACAAATTTTTGCTTGCCAGATTCATCCAAGTTTCGGTGATTGCTATGACGTCTACATTCTCAGTACATACAACCGCTCTCAGCATGTCTATTTTATTTCTACCGCTCCTACTGTTTGTATAGTATACATTTAAACCTACCTTTCCCTGGTCCTGTTTTACTCCTTGTCCTGAGTAACCAATTTTACTTCCCAGGACCTGCTAGTTTTTTTATTCCCACTTTCCCCGACCTCTCTCTACTGGCGAAACCCCCCCTTTGGAGTGAAAATTTCACCCTCCAGGGATGCAGACAAGGTCTTTACCCCCGCAAGAGACAAGTGTACTCCGTCACGACTGTACAGGTAGTTGTTGCCATAGAATCGTTGCCAGCTATCAATGAATGCCCAACCATTGTCTGCACAATGTTTTTCCAGTCGGCAATTTATAGCAATTGCCCTGGACAGCCATTCACGAACAACCCCTCTTCTAGGCAAGACACCACATACTATCGGGATCCCTCCCCTATATCTAATTTTCCCCAGCGCCTCCCTATACCTCTTGAAAAGTTCCTCACTCCTAACCTTTCCTATGTCGTTTCCGCCCCCACTAAGACACACTACTGGATTGGTACCCTCCCCTGACAAAACCCCATCTATCCTCTCAGCTACATGCCCTATCCCAGCCCCAGGAAAACACACCCTAGTCCTACGTTTCCTATCTCTTGCACAAAAAGTCCTATCTAAAAACCTCACCTGGGTGTCCCCAACTACCACGACCTTACCTCTGAGCAGGGTTTGTACAACTGCCCTTTCCTCTCCTTGCACCACACCGTCCTGCCTCTTCTCTTCCTCGCCAGCTTCCTCCAGCACCTGGTAGGGGTTACTACACTCCACACCCTGGTCAGCTTTCCTGAGTCTGACCCTAGTCCCCTTGGAGACAACCACTCTCCACGCCTGCTCCTCCTTCGTAGGTGTCCTGCTAGGCAGGACACCTACCTGAAGGAGTTCAGTCCTGAGGGCTTCATTTTCCCCCTTTAGAGTGTCAATCTCACTCCTCAATTGCCCCAGCTCCACGCCCTATCCGCAGTCCGTGCCCTGGCGTCTCTCCTGTGTGGCAAGATATCGCCCACCAACTCCCGCGCCAAGTGAAGAAGCTGCCCTGGACCTTCCCCCTGTGAGCTGATCACTGTGTTACCAGAATATTCCTTCGTGCTGGTTAGAAGAAAAAATCATCTACAGCCGTAGGAAATATCTGTACTTTCTTGTATTGATTGTTTTGTTTCAAGTAATTGTTTGACCCCAGTAAGTGGCGTCAGAGTTAACTTATTGTGATTATTTTCGTAATAAAGAGTTGCCAATCTCTAACGGTTGTTTGTTACCCTTGGAAACCCATGGTTCTTGACTTTCCTTTTTATAAGATCCTGATTAGACTGGCAAGGGATTTACATTATATCCCAAAGGCCAGGCCTTTTTAGCAGTGGGCAGGTCATTTGGGAAGGTCTTTACAGAAATCCATCTCAAATTGTCAACTACACAAAGTTCTAGTAACTAAATACGAACAGAAAGACGGGCCGGGGAGGACAGGGTGATTTGATTTTGCAGGTTACAGCGGCTACTTTATTGTGAACCCTACACTCATCCTGTGAGCCCTAACGCAAAAGGGTTACAGAGTAGAGTTTACAACTGGTCATAATAATTAACCCCCGTTGTCAGGATATTATGGCACTGAATGTTACACAGTATTTCAATTACATTATTTGTTTAGTTCTATACATAAAGGGTAACTTATTCACAAATGCCTGAGTACAGGCGTGTGAGGCAGTATGTCTGGCCACACACTTTGTTATTCACATTTGCGTGAGAAGTATTCAAGCACATTGTGTATTTGGTTCTGTACATGAGAACTGATATAGTTAATAAGTGCAAAAAAGTGGATACAATCTTAATATGTCGGCTATCTTGCCATTAGAGATGAAGTGTTGTGTCATTTCACACACAGTGTGCTTGGACCTGTCCCTAAAAGGTTCTATCTTCACACAGTCGAGGACGCAGTGATCAAGTGTGTGGCTATATGTCTGGCCACACACTTTACATTTAGTCTTGTTTACATCTGCTTGAGGAACATACTGCTAGAGGTACTTATCCTAACCATAATCTAGCAATTACAACATCTTGTAATCTAGTGATCTTGTTACGTGCTCCATATACATGTTTCACTTGATACAGCTCACCATGGTAAACTATGGATGGACTAGTGCTTGTTTGCACTTGTCTACTTGCGTCAAATTCATCAATAAGTTCTTTCCTAATTACAGTATTACGAACCACGCCATCTATTGTGTCATGATCTAACTACCCAGCACTACCGAGCAACGCCATCTAGGGGCGAAACCCGAGTATGACTAGTCTTAGTCACCACTCCGGGTTTCCTTTCTCTATATCCTGGTTGTTGCGTCACCTCCTCCAACTCTTCCTCATCAGCTCCGGATCGAGGAGAGTTCAGTTCACTCTGGGAAGTGACCAAACTTGGATCACCTATCCTGGAAACCTACGGCACAGTGACTACCTACCATCTTCTTCAATACTCAGCCCTACTCGTCAGACACTTCAGCACCGCACTTGAGTATTGTAATCCTATATTACCTCCCACCTCCACTTGCTTCAGATTGTTGTATGTTGTATAAATATGTATATACTGTTAAGCCAATGTTGCATATGTTTAAGTTAAGTATGGTTAAGGGTAAATTATAGAAAGCTGGATATTTTGTTAAGGAATTTATTGTACTTTATTATACACAACAAAAACTCGCATCCTTTGTCTACCCTTTTATAGTCCGATTGTCTTTGTTTGTTTAGTTTTTTTATTGTTGTTGCCTGTTGGGATCTGGGTAGACTTTTAACTATATTCTAAACCAGTTTTTAAATCCCCAACTCGTAACAACAGTTTTAAGGGTTCTTTTTGACAGACCCAAATTGTATTCAACTGTGTCTTTGTTAGACGCGAGTTTGGCGAGGGCATCAACTCTGTGACGTTAATAATATGTTTATGTTCGTTAATTAAAAATATTTGTGTAGGAAATATTGAAAGAAGTTCGATGAAGTAATAACTAATTTCACCTCTTTAACGTTTACAGTTCTGGTTCAGTTCCACCGCTCGTCTAACATATCATAGTCCCTAATTATGACCTTCTCTTTTTGCTGAAGAAGCTGCCGTTCTTATTTTTGACCCTGTTATGTGCTAAACAGCATATCACGGTTATCTCACAAAAAAACGTGTCTTGTTACAATATACGTACTCCAGGTGTCCCTAACGGGCCATCGGGCCTAATGAGTCCATTATCGATTTTTCATGAATTATTTGTTTTCAGGTTTACGTCCTCGCTGCGCTTGTGGGCGTTGCCGTTGCTGACACTATCCCCTACACCCCTCCACGTCCCTCCTACAACGCTCCCGCCCCTGCTGTAAGTTCTTGTGGACATTATCTTACATAACTGATGAAGTGTGTTTCATATCTAATGAAGTTTTCTCTCCTTTCACATATGAGAACTTAAAACTATTTTGTTTTCAATGGTATATAATTCTCATTCCCAGGGTCCTGCCCAATACGAATTTGACTGGACCATGAACGACGCTAACTCCGGCAACAACTACGGCCACAATGAAGCTCGTACTGGTTATGACACTCAAGGATCCTATTAAGTTCAGCTCCCCGACGGTCGTCTGCAGAGAGTTACTTATACTGTGAACGGCGACTCCGGCTACTTGGCTCAAGTTGAGTACGAGGGTGAGGCGCATTACCCAGCCTACCAACCTGCTTCCAGCTACAGACCAACACCTAGTTATGCGTAATAAAATCTTAGTTTGAATAGAAATTTGGCTTTCTTAATCCACGGCAGTGAATCTGCTTAAATTGATGCATTAATTAAAACATTAAATACATTGCCAAATGCTTCTGGTGTTATAACACAGGGGTACCTAATTTTCTTAAAAAATTGATAATGAATTGATAATTTGTCCAGCATAACATCTTGCTGTAGATAAAGACTTTTTGAAATGGGTGTTCCGCCTCTGTTTAGTATAGATAAATCCTTAAATATCAAAATGAGTGTCTGAATAACACAAACTTATCGCCTGGGTGATGACAACCAACTCACTCACTCCCTCGTGTACACACTATTTACAGTGCTGTTCCCTTGCTGCAGGTTAGCGAGACCTTTACAGACTACAAATTTATTAATTTAGTTTCTGATCTGTTCGGAGGTACTGGTCACCTGTTTAAGTTTGGGATGAGGTAGGAAAGGTTGATCATAATATAGGAAGGGATTTCCGGGGACATGCAAATTTCTCTCATGCAAGGTGACACCGGTCATCTCAAGTATCCAACTACACATATGCGTTTTATTACTACTCAATAATTATTATAATATTTTGAGTTGTGCTTTATTTCTTCAATTCAATTTCAAAATAATAGGGTCTAAAATATCTTTTGCTTGTGGGTCTGGTTTCTTTGTACAATTTCACCCCTAACGACTGGCCCAAGATACTCAGACGTTTTCTCAGTCGTTTGGGAACTAGGTGAATACGTTAAGGAGCGAGTTCCCCACACATGAATGGGTTTATTAAACACGTTTCCGAGGACTATCACACCAGTCGCACGCATTTAATGATGCGTATGACCGGTATATGAGGTATGAGAGGCTCCCGAACGACTGAGAAAACGGCTGTTTATGTTGTCTTACCGGTACTATTGACTTTAACACTCATCTGTATACGGTACAAGAGACAGGTTAACTGTAATCACGTTGTCAGGTGAGGTCGGTAAGCATTGTCAGTGTCTGTGATGATCTGAGCACAAAACACGAGACAACCATGCTCAGTAAGGTGTTGTAGTGGGTCCCTGGCGGTGGTATTAGGTAATTATTCGTATATATATATATGATGAAATTGAGAATATAAATAATTTGGTTCCTGGAGACACATCCCCATATTTGTAGAGGAATATATCCATGTCTTAATATGACACGGACTCCCCATAATCCATTGTTTTTAATCCCTCAAATTTATTGGATCCCCTGAATAAGAGAAACCCCAGCGTATTTCACTTCATAATTAAAGACCTTAATTCTAAGCTAACCATTCTTTACTAAATTTACCTAACACCTACAGTTATTTAATGACATTTCATTTTTACTGGCAACAGGAAGCTGCAGTATTAATAGAAAATGAACTTACTAATTGGTTCACAGTAAGACGGGGAGTAAGACAAGGCTGTGTTCTCTCTCCATCATTGTATAATATGAAATAAAAATTCTTAATGAGAGAAGTTAGAAGTGATATTGAAGGACGAAAAGTTTTTGGTAAAGTAATTTAGAATATACGTTTTGCAGATGATAATGATCTTATCACAAATAGTGAAAAGGTAGAACAAAACTCATTAAAAGATTAGTGGAAAAAGGTGAAAAATGTGGTTTAGGAGTGAATGCTGTAAAGACTTAAGATATGGTTGTTTCTAAATTGGAAATAAATTCGAAACTGGTGGCTGTCGAGTGCGCTGCTAGCTTAGTACTTTACTGTACCGATGCAGCGTTCAAGAATAAAAGACGAACTTTGATCTTTATGACGTCTTTACCTTTAAATTATAAAAAAATAACTCTATGTAAATATCTTGTTCCATATGGCTGTAAGTTAACAGGGGCAAGTATACAACACACTGATGTTAAGACTTATCAATCATAAGTTAAGGGCTGTAAAGACACATAGAATTAAACACTTTTCCCGGTATTAACTAGCCCTTGATAAGTAAACTCTTATATAAATATATAAGGTAATAACAAGCTTAAATTAAAATATAACGTTAACTACCCTTACATGTATACAATGGAGCAAAAAAATAATAGCGAAAAACCTGGCTGTAGAAACCCAACTACACTGTCTCTTCTTCACGTCAGAACTGATGATTCCACACCTCAAAGCAGGCAACTGAGCTCAGCAAGGGCAGTTATTTTTCACACTATTAAAATGATATCTGAATATTACAATTGATAACCTAAATGATATAAAATACAGAATAGTTCTTTCAAAAGCACATGGCTGATAATTCAACAGTGAAATTAAACAATCAAAAAACTGTGAAATTAACCCACCAAAGAAAATGGGAATCGGCCACAGAAACTCAAGCTAAACCATTTTCTATAACACTGGAACTAAAGTGATCAACTTTTCGGCCCTAAGATAGTGAAATGTTCGTTAAACTTAAATTATCTTTACTTAATATGCCAGTTTTTCCTTGAACCGGATATACCCTTTACTGCTAAGGAGACAATGGTGGGGTGAAACCGTTTTTTAATATTAATGAAATATATCCAATATGTAACTTTAATTTCAATACATCAACCTGGGACAGCAACAGAACAACACTAATCTCTGTATGTTGGACACATGTATCATCCTTCCTTTGTTTTGCTCACCATCCTTATTCTACAAACGTCATTGCAGCATGACCTGACCACATCTGAGAACAAAATTATGTGAAAAGAACATGTGAAATGGCGGACTGTTCATAACTATACACACGCTTTTTACTCTGGAAAGTTTATTCATGAATAAAGATGGAAATTAATGTTATTTATACTTTCGGCTATGTAAAATAATTTGCTTAATACATTTAATTAAGGAAACAAGAACTAACCTGACAGCACATTTAGATTTAGGAATCTCTGTAGAAACACATTAACCAAAAAAAGTAAATCGTAGAACGTACAACTCAGTTCAGAAAACCTCTTTGAGGAAAGTGTTAGAATACTGAAAGTTAGTAAACTAATTCATGGCCTATGACCTCTGGGAAGATATTGATAGTCTGCTCTTCCCGGGAAGGCGCTAAGAGGTGGTGAAATTCTGTTGTCGCACCCCAGTTTCAAGGGCTTTGCTGCATTCCCTCTTACATCTAACGTCACGAAAAGATGGGTGGAGTCTCCGCTCTCCAATATATAAGCCCGAGCGTGTATTGGTGGACATCAGTCTCGCTCTACCTTCACATTTCAACATGACTCCTAAGGTAAACAATTGAGTGTGAACTACATTGCTTGTCTGCCATGAGAAGTGTGCTTAGATAAATCTTGAAATCTACTTAGAACTGAGTCACGATTCTCTGGCTTTCAGGTTTACGTCCTCGCTGCCCTTGTGGCAGTCGTCATCGCTGACAATATCCCCTACACCCCTCCACGTCCATCTTACAATGCTCCTGCCCCTGCTGTAAGTTCTATGTACCTTTTGCTATCCACACACAATACAGGTCATCGTTCAGCGAGTTAGTATTGAATTACATTAAACAAAATATGGATTTACAAAATCAATAAACTGTACTCTACATTAAGTCTTACGAACATAAATACATCTTCAAGATATACTACGATTACGATTAAATAGTGTATAATTTTCACCCTCAGGGTCCTGCACAGTACAACTTTGACTGGTCAGTGAACGACGTAAACTCCGGCAACGACTACGGCCACAACGAAGCTCGTAATGGTTACGATACTGAGGGATCTTATTACGTTCAGCTTCCCGACGGTCGTCTGCAGAGTGTTACCTACACTGTGAACGGCGACTCCGGCTATGTGGCTCAAGTCGAACATCAGGGTGAAGCCCAGTACTCAGCCTACCAGCCCTCTCCCAGCTACAGGCCAACCCCTGGCTATGCTTAACCAAATCATAGATTCTTTAATCCTTTTGTATGAATATCCATAAATTATTACATTAATAAATCATACTCAAGATTTTGTGTTTCATCAACTTACTGACAATAATGAATTAAATATGTAAATAACCGAAGAAAACAAACAATATATATCGATGGCCTACTTCAGGTGTGTTAAAAATAATATGAACTGTCGTGAATGCTTCCTGCCATTCAGTAGCATTTCACATGTATCAGTTATATTCAGAGTTACATCACTGAAACCACTAATGACAAAGGCAAGTCCATCCCATCATAATGCATTCGAAAACTTAGCCATGCTGATATCTTGTCGTGATTAACCATCTTAATATTCTTTGTATTTCGCAAAAATACATATATTATAAAAAAAATATTGCAAATTCGACAGATTCTTTGAGTAAATAATTTAAATGTGATTCTTCTGTGTTTATATGTTATGTGTAAGGAAATGAAGTCAAAGACACGAACAACATAAATATTATTAACCCTTTGCTGCATGATAACATTCGAACGAACCTCACTGACTTACCAACTCACTCCTGTTGAGCCAGGTCGAACACCAGTACTCAGCCTACCAGCCCTCTCTCAACTACAGGCCAACCCCTGGCTAAGCGTAAATAAATTCTAAACTAATTAGGAACTTCGCTTCCTTAATTCTCATTTATGATTTTCCTCAGCTAATTTCAATAATGAAATATTCTAGAAAAGTATCTGTCACAATGCTTATCTTTCTGACGAACATAATAGATTAATTTAATGAACCGGGGGTAATAAAACTAGCAAGTTTAAAAGAATATCAACTAAAGATTTAGCGGTAAAAATATAGAAACAGTCATTTCCTTGATGTCCATCTGAAGCCCTTTATATTATTTTACAATTATATCAATATACTGTACAGTACGAAAAACAAAAATAAGAAAACATTATTTAGTAAGGGAGGAATATTTTTTCTGCAATAATTGTGAACGTTATGTAGCCTCGATATATGAATTCATAAATATTGAAATGTCTATCTGAATACGTGGAAAAAAATATACAAACATTAAACACCGCTAACCGTCGTCTGGTTGATGACAACCAAGATGACACAGACTTACTGTACTGACTTGTTGACTCACTCATGTACAAAATATTTATGGCATCTTTTTCTTCCCT